TTGTCCGAAACGGCTGCTAGCAACCTTGGCACGATTTCGGATGAATTCCGTCAACTAGGTGAAATGGGGTTCTCTCCCTGAACGGCCAATTATCACTGCCTCCTCAGCCCACCTCTGTTGTATGTCAGCCGGCAGGAATCTCACTACCGCTTCTAGGGTGTGTAGAGCATTCAAATCTGCTTCGTAACTCATTTGAGTCAAGGCAATAAAGCAGTTCTGCATCTTCATTACCAGTTGCACCAACGACTTGGGTTCGTTCCTTGCTTTGCGTGCCTCGGCCAGCACCCAATCTATGAGTGTCCGTGCCACATGGAAAGGTTGACCGAACAATTCCTTTAGAATATCCCTCGCTCGGGAAATCCCCAGTTCTTTCGGTAGCATGACGCATTCTTCAATAGCATCTCGGGCCTTCCCGCGGCAATAATGCTTCAAGTACAGGAACTTCTGTCCTGGATTGGAGATCCGACAGTCGACGAAGTTATCAAACTCTCTGATAAATCTCCAGTAGATACTGGGGTTCTCGTCAAACGGCGCAAGCTCCATATTGGGCAGATCTATCGAGGGGTGGCGGTACACTAATTCAGTCAGTGGTTGAGCCGCTTCCGGCGTAAAAATAACGGGCCAAGTCTGTTTCTCCGCCACGACATGCATAGTCGAGCCTGATTGTCTAGCCTCCGATTCCTTAAGCTTCATCGATCTAATATCCTACTCTAACTCTACAATCTTATGGAGATATAAATCAGAAATCTTAACATCAGCATGACAATCTAAAGCACATGAATTCCTAGCACTAACAGGGCTACCTAATTTAAAAATGTGAGAATCAGAAACCCCCCAAATATCCCTGTGACTTGTCGGGTTACTTCCTGTCCTACCTCCTCGATCCTTCCTTGTTCGAACGACATTCTCTTGATCCAAATTGTACAAACTTTGAGTACTGTAACTCCCAAATAGATCAATGAGCGATGCGTAGCCAAAATTGGATCCCAAAGCGTCAACAAAACGGACAATCCGGCAAATTTCTACGGTACTGCATTATTAAACGATCAAATAAGCAAATGAAAGCTGTACAAACCTGAAAGTGATCTCGAAACAACTTGAAAACAAGAGTCAAGTGTTACTGTGAGCGTAATTCAACAAATCTGAATGGAAGAAAATGAGCCTGGGTAAGAATAGCACGCTCACCGTCACGCTGCACATAAACGAGCCAAATGTGAGCGCTCAAGTCGCAATTAAAACAAGTAGGATAAAAATTGAAGCAGATAAACAAACAAAGTCAAATGGTAGGATTGATGTGTAAATATACAAGGGGAGTGGAACGTCAAATGCATATATGTATGTGAGGCGGATGATGTTTGGTGAATGGAACGTAAAATTCACGAAATGTGGAACCGAGATGGAGTGACTGGGCTTTACAGGAAGGATTTTCACAAATCGATCAATACAACGGCTCTGTTGAGAGTATTGACTAACGTTAAATCCTCTATTACGGAGATGTGCAGCGACCGCCACGGAACTACAGGATTCCATGAAGTCATTGCATGGGTGCCAGCATTTTTCCAAGATCCATTTGGTGAACGCATACCTACAGATTCAACTCATTGTGGAATCTCGCTACTTGACAACAACCAGCACTACGTGGGGAATGCATTAGTATA